CTATGCGGTGGTAGTGGAGGGGAGGTGTCGAGTTTCTCGACGTGCCTTACTCCTCCATCACTCTCGCACAGCACGCCACTCTCCTTGTCCCCTTCTCCCCTGCGAGGAAGGAGTGTTGGCAAAGACAGCATGAAAGGGAGGAAACTGAACCACAACGCGTCAGTGATTTATTAACAAATTTGGACAACGTCGCAGAATCGTTCTGGTTGATAACTACGCTCTCAAAACGTCATTTTACTTTTTATTTTTATTTTTGTTTTATTTTTTTTCACCTCTCACGTGTGTGGCTGCTTTTTTACTTCGTTAATTTTCTTTCTTTTCCCTACCTCGCGCGTATTTTTTTACCCCATTTTATTTCTGTGAGTGTGTAGTTTTTGTGTTTTATTTTCCTTTTCCGGCTGTTTTGTCCGGAATTTACTGCTGGGGCAATTCTGGCTTTGTGCCTCGAGTCACTGCTGTGAATACTTGTGGCGTTCTTCGATACGCGTCACTGAAGGGGAGGGTGGGTGGGTGTGGAGGCCTCTATCTCTAGCCGCTTCACCACTTGTTACTGCAGAGGCAAACACGCAATCGTATAATGAATTTGATCAAATACACCTGCATCCGGGCCCTGCAAAAGCTGATCCTGAAACATGTCTCATGGAATTGTGCTTTTGTGCGTGCGTGTGGTTTGCTTGTTTGCTTTTCGCTTATTTGTTGTTCCGCGTCATTTGCGCTCTGCTGCTTCCTCTCATAGGGAACGCGAGGGGAAGGAGGGCCGAAGGAGCTAACGAGAAGGAACGTAAAAAAAAAGGGCTGGGGGCAGGTGAGAGGAAGTCCCTCTGGAAGGAGGCACGGAAACCAGCACGTGTGCAAATGCGGCGCGTGACAAAGGGCAAGGGCAATGGGGTGAAGGAGAAGGTGTGTATTAAATTCGCTTGGTGACCGCTCTTCTTCTTTTGTTGTTTGGATTCTTCTTTACGAAATGCATGAAACGGTGAACGCTACAAATAAGATAACTAAATAAAAGACTTTTTTTTGTTTTCCTTTGGCAATTCGATACTTTTTTTTGTTTTCTTTTCAGGAAACATAATTGAGTCTCTTCTAAGCCTTTGAAATAGGGGCCGTTGGAGAACGCCGCGCTGTAACCGGTTTTGAAGGGAGCAGGGGAGAGACAGACGGGGCACGAGGTGAGGGATGTGGGGCCTGCGGCCACGCCGCTGTGACGTCTGCTAGCCTGTCTGCGTGTTCCCTTTGGTCGTCCGAGGGCGTGGCGAACGCGCCTGTCCCCCGACGAAGCCGCTCCTACCTTGGCAACGAGAACAGTATAACTGGGGCAAATAAATAAAGGAAGAAGAAAAAAATGCGTCTACTACCAGCGTGATCACCGAGAAGAGAAAACCACAGAAAAGACGGTAAAGCTGAAATCAATGTGAACCGGTGAATGTGCTTTTTTTTGTTTTATTTTCTTTGTTTTTTTCGAGTTGTCCTTTTCCGTTGTTAACTGCGTACTGTGGAACTTTTCCTTCTGCGATGGTGGGCGGTATTTCCCATGCTGCTGGCGTCCCACCTTCTGTGTTGTTGTACCTACTTGAGCTTCTTCCTCTCTTGTCATTGGTCTCCTGTGGCGGTCTCGGGGTTGGCCTCATCCTCTCTTCACCGGAACATTTGCACGCTTTTTTTTTTCAGAGCGGGGACGAAGGAAGGATACGAGTGTGCAGCCGGAGGAGGCTTGTGGCCCGCAATGCGGTCTAACGGGGGAGCGGCGCCATCAGAGGCGGCGTACTACATCTCTGTGACACAAGACGTTTTGAACAAGTTAGACACCTTGCTGCTGCAGATCGACAGATTGGAGACCCAGCATAGTGCGGAGTCCAGGGACGCGCTCGAGACGAAGATGATTAGGGTGCTGCAGGACCGTCTTCCCCGGTTAATACAGCAGTTATGGCAGGAGATTTGTCTGGTTTTGACACCTTTTGCATCCTCGCAAGGCGGGGAGTGTATATCGCGCGAAGAAATTTGGGATGAACTGGCCTATCAGTGCGCCCAGCTTTCCTTTTTCAAGTCTATTTACCGCTTTGCCACCGCAGTGCTCTCTGGAGAGGCACTGGAAGGTGCGAGTGACACCCCCACGAAGTGCCGCTGCCTTGAGCGGCTTCTGAAGGAACGACAACACATTTGGGCGTCAGCGGAGGGTCAACTCATACGTGAGTGGTTGCGTGGCTTTGTGAAAAAAGTGCTTTTCGCCGCGGCAAGTCCTGCGGAGACCGAAGGCGTAAGCCTGTATCAGTTAGGAGAAAGTGTTGCTCTGCGTCAAGACGCCCCATGGAAGCTTAAGCCAGAAGGACTACGAGAAACTCCCCAGGAAATTGGCGCCCACCCGGTATTTGTGGTGCCGGACGGAGATGCGATTGATGTGGAGCGAATGCGACAAGAGTTTCTGAGGCTCTTGCGAGCAGCCTGCCTTGATGTGGGGGAGGAACTCCTCTCCCTTGTAAGGCAGAAGGGTCTCTCGCAGCCAACTTTTCCGACTGAAACTCATCTGTGGGTTGGCACCGACACAAGCGGAGACGAGAAAAAAATGGAAACAGCTGCTCCTTGCCATGATAATGCCGGAGTGGGGCCGTTGGCGCCCGCTGCTCTGATAGCGGGCAACGACCGGTGGGTGTTCTTCCGTACCCGCCCAAACGACGATCCGGCACTCACCGTTGATGAAGTTGCTGGCCAAGTTCGTGCTTTTTACGAAATCTACAATGCCGCCAAGGCTCCTCTGGCATCTGTGCTTGCTGAGGGTTACGGCGACGATTATGCAGACCTTTTTGATTCCTTGGAGTTCCGCTACTTAATTCCTAAAACATCAATTCTGTCGGTGGCACAAGAGCTCGCGCCTGGCGTGTCCGACACTCCACCAACTGAAACGAGCGTTCATGTGCATGAAGAGACGGCAGTGGTGGCAGACGAGGAAAGTGGTGTCCCTGCCAGTACTTGTCTGCTCATGTGAGGCGTGACTCGTGGAGGTTGAGGAAAGCAAAAGAAGCGGGGGGTGGGGGGTAGGGGGTATAACAAGGCATCGCATTGTTTTCCGACATGTTGGGGACGACTCCCAGAAGCAGGTTTGCAATAGTGCACGAAGTCCAACTCCGAGGAGGGCATTGAATAGGTCTTGTTTCATTTTTTGCTTCCGCTCTAACTTCTTCTATTTTATTGATTGACTTGGTTTGATTTGATTTTTTTCTCTTTGCTCTCTTGAATAATCGGAATGCAGGGGGTACTCCACGAGACACTTTGTAGACGGAGCGGGGTCGGTTGGCAATGTACTCCTACTCCTCTGGCGATGCGCTCTTTGATGCGCAAGCCGAGCGCCTCTTTGCTGACATCGACAAACAGTTGGACAGGTGGAACAATAAGTACGGGCCGAGAAATTTGTGTGCGGCGCCGGAAAAATTACAGTCCGTGGGAAGGAACACCCACGCTGATGAAGCAGCTGCCTGCCGGAATACGAACTCCAAGAGCCTTGGGCGTAAGCAACGTTCAGCTGCGTCAAGCCCCACCCATCATGGCGGCAGCAGCAACAGCAGCAGCCGTGACGAGAGCATTCCTACTAGTTACTTAAATGAGGAATTGAAACTTGAGGTTTCTGCTCTAGTGGCACGTGTCAGTTTGTTGGAGGGACAGCTGCAGGTCGCTGAGAGTGAGCGCGCGGTTTTGCGAAATCGATTGGACGCTGCGCAGCAGCAGATGTCGGAACTTATTGAGGCCCATAAATCTCTTCAAAATGAGTGCATTGCATTTCGGACGCAGGCGCTGTCATCACCGCCGCGTGATGCTGCGCAGGAAAGGGCACGGGATGAAACTACTCACCCCTCTGCTGGTCATTCGGCGCACAATCGATGTGGCAGTAGTGGTACTTGCTCGGGACCACTAACCGTGGCCTCAACGGAGTTGGTGTCTCCCCATGCCGTTACTACTGTGCTTGGCCCCAACTTTAGCGGCGAGGCGTCAGACGCCGGACTAGGGGCCACGACGGCTCTGCGAAAGTCATCTGCACAGGAACGTAAAATGGCGCTTGAGCAACTTGCACGGCGCCTCCATGTCTCCCTAACCCCCTGAACGAGCAAAAAAAAAAACAACGCATGTACCTGCCACCACTGCACCTTACAGGAGTGTCAAGGAGATAAGTTCATGAAGATGGAACGCTATTCTGATATTGCGCGTTTAC